AAGCTAAAAGGCTGCAGTACAACGATTTTCATCCCTCCTCATCTGGTGAGATCGACAAACCAATCTCTTCATCATGTACTTTCATTCGAAATGAAGGTCCCTCTAACAATGAGTTAAAGTGGGCAGCGGATCTTTGATTAAGCGGATGAAGATTCGAGTGGAATGAGAACCAAAAATCTCTTATCCAACACATCATCCCATTTCAGAGATTTACTTTTATTTTGGTTATGACATTTTTTAGCACATAGTTAATTTTCAGAAGTGACACTCGAGATACAATATGAATCGAACTCCCTTGGATTGGACATTGTTTTCGAATAGCCTCTTGTGGCTGGTTCACATCCGCTTCTCGTAGACTGTCATCTGAGTCGAAAGCGGTGGACAAGATCCGCTTGGCAAGCAGTAGACTCCAGACAGGATGACGCTTTCGCAGAGTTCGAGCGGATCATCAATCGTCGGTACACTCGGAGCGCTCGAGTAGCCTTGATTTGCAAGTACACAAGAGCGTCCTTACAATCCGTACTGCAGCCAGGACAACCCAAACACATTCCACTCTCAGAGAGTATAGCCGAGTCTGTGAGACATCGCTTACCTCCCACCCTCAGTTGCCAGGACGGCAACAGCTTCAACGCACGACCTTAGATCGCCTTGCGCTAGTTTGTAGGGCGTAGGCACCGCCAACCCCTCCTTCTCTTTGCTGTCGTGTGATTCACAACGCTGCCAACCAGCGTCGGCAGTCTCGTAAGCACAAAGGCCATACAGCTCGCCTGCAGCGAATGTTTACGTTGACATTTCTTTCAGACTGCAGGCCACAACTGCACTAATCTCTCCACTTGAGTGGTTGAACAAACTTCCCTCTTGCGGCGCATTGTTACTGCAAGTTCGCAGAGCTATTCTCACGCACTTGGCTGTTCTAGAGCTCAGCCTAGTCTCTATCGTAGCATCGTTCTTGGAGCGGGCAGACTGGCCGATTGTAACCAAGTTTCTCTTCGTCAAATAATGTGCCTGGACAGCTTGCAAGACAAGCTCTTGAATAAGACCTTGGCTGCATGAGGTGATGAAGAAATGATGGTTGAATTTTCCCAAAATAAGTTGAAACGTCTCAGGATACCAAAGCAGGTAGCAAAAAGTATGCTCATCACGACTCAACTGAAATCAACTGGACTGGAAGTGAATGCAGCTTCGACGTCGCGAGAACTCGTCTCTCAAGCGTCTCCAGCAAGCCCTGAACCCGCTTTGTGGCGGCTCGGTGCATACACTTGCCTTGCTTTCCCAAAAGTTGTTCACATCTCGACTGAAGTGGACTGCAGTTTCGACCTCGCATCGGTCTTATCACACTAACCCTTAGCAACATCTCATATTACTGATTTACTTGTAGACACGAAAACGATACTTAATTCAAAAAAAAATTGTCATAGCAAACATACGTTTGCTTCATCGACAATTCCACAAAAAGCATATGATATGGCAAAAAGGCCTGGCCTTACTTGAAAATTCACATTTGCCCTGAGACCCAAAAGTCGCTGGTGGCAATGTAGCCGAGTGGTTAGCGTATCGCAAAGCTCCCATCCTGCACTGTC